AACATGACTACACCCAAAATACATTATTCATATCAAAAACTACCACTAAACGGCAAACTTCAAACCCAGAAAATTATTGACAAAATACATGACTAAGCGCAACCTATTTGGGAATCATTACAAATGGGCAAGACAAACATCTCCATGGCAAAAGGCCCGTGTATACACAAAATACACATGAACTCTAAATTAAGAGAATGAAGCGAGTTCAAAATGCAGAAGGAAAAAGTTCAAGATTAAGAAAGAGCACACAAGGTTTTGTGTATCACAAAGGCAGAGAAGGGGGGAATACAAAGACCAACACTGGTGAGGCCATGAACAGGACTGTCAAAAGCTGCTGGCAAGAAATAGGCTGCTTTGGATTTGGAGTGGCAACATGACAACCTATATTCCCTTTGAGATGTAGTCAATGCATGACCTTCTCCTATATCCCTTGATGTGATGTATGTATCATAGGTCTAGACTCTCCCTGTGGCTATAACCCCATTTTGGAGGGAGTTCTCTGCTGGTGTGGAATTTGGACAGGATTTGGGTGGGATTAGGCTGTAGTATTTCCTTGGGGTGGTCTGTTGGCAGACAAAAGCCACAGCTCAGTCATTCCTCTGTGTCTAAGAGCCATCTTAGAAGCAAGGAAAAACCCCGGGATCATCAGAAGAGCACTTTTGAGATCTGTCTGAAGTGGCAGAGGCTGAAACCAGAGGCACCAGAGACTAAGGGAGAGAGCAAAGGAAGCAGGTGGAGACCAAAGGCTGGCCAGGAATCCAGGACAGAGCAGAGAAGCAGGACCTAGACTGTGAGACAGGAAACTGAGCAGACTTCCTGGCCCTCAGAGGCAGAAGCCAAGGGACCACGCTTTTAGCTGAGAAGGTGAAGGCAGAGGCTTGGCTATGACCTAAGGAGAGTTATTGCTATAAACCATTCAATGACTGTATCCTTACAGCTGACTGATCACTGACCTTGACTTGTGGTAAAGTGCTAACTTCTATAAACCCCCTAAGTTTGAGTACTGTCTGAGTTGTGTGGCCACCAAAACGAATTATCAAACCCAGCAAAGAAGTAATTTGTTGTAGGAGGAACGGTTGGAGTCAGAATAAGCAGAGGAGGATGGAGAGTAGAGCCATGTCTAAGCCCTGCCTCTTCACGATAGGGCAGCAAGAGATCAGATATGGCTCCTGTGCCATTTTTTGCACCCTCTGACTTTAGACATTTATAAATCTATTATATGAAAACTTACTGGCCTCAAATTCTAACTCATAGCAACTGAGAGAACTCACAGAACTGCTCCTTAGGCTAGCTAAGACTGCAATTCTTTTAAACAGCAGAAAGTAAAGTAAAAATGCATAAAGATCTGGTTAGACGATAGGACCAGTAATAGGAACAGGCTAAGAAATTTGTGACAAATCCATTTAATTAAGTAGTACACATATAAAATGTTTCCCATTTAAATTCAAAAGAGGACTTAAACATTGACTACAAAATAGCATGTTCGAGATTAACAAGTTTTAAAAAAATAAAATACACACTGAGAAAGAGAATGTACAGCAAAATGGGCTTAGCTGCATTTTCGACATGTATACATTACCTGTGCATTCTTTATTTTAAGAGGGACTAACAGAATTAGAGTTCACTAGAAAAACCCCTCTTATGAAACATGAGAACTTGTACTAAATTTTGTTAGTAACCACTTCAAATGTTTAAAATGCACTTACTCAAAGTTCATCACTCTG